CACACACACACACTTCTCACTCCCACCTCCCTCTCTCCGCCTTCTCCCCTCCCCCATCCCATCCAGCAGGCCTTAATCCCGAGCGCTAATGACAGTGACACAGAGAGAGGGTGAGAGAGGACTAGGGTTAGCGTGCGGCAGAGAAGGGGAGTTTAACTTGGTGCTGGTTGCCGTGTTATGCAGGAGGACGAGGACTCGCTGCAGATTTGGGCTGGAGGACTGAAAGAGCTGACCACTATGAAGGCAGACGTGTCCCAGTACGTGCTGCCCGCAGACACCGCTCTGCTCCAAGGACAGGTGGAAGAACTTCACAGCCAATGGGAAGAACTGTGCTTGAAGGTGAGTGAGTGTTTGTGTTTGTGAGAGGAGAGAGAGAGAGTGAGAGTAGGAGGGAAAGAGAGGCTGTTGTCCAGGCAGCATTGAAAGGCACACAATGATTCACCGCTGGAAGGTGGGGGGGAAACTTCACAGTGCCGCATGGCACAGAAAAAGAGAGGGAAAATGTGAATTGATCTAGATTTATAGTCATAATAATAGTTTTCTCATCAGAAAGATGTCCTGACACATATGTTTCTGACATGAAAAATAGCACAAGAAAAATTGTTTCACTTGCCTCAAAGGGACAGTTCAGACCAAAATGAACATTTTCATTTACTTACCTACTTGCTGGTCCAAACTGTATGATGTTTTTTTCTTCTTTGGAGCACATAAGAAGAAATGTTGAATCATACAAGTCACTCTTTTCCATGCATTACAAAGAATGGGGAATGAATGCCCATTCAAGATTCAAAAAGGATGCATAAATCCCCATAAAGGTATTATGAAAGTTGTTCATACGTCTCATGCACTGTATTAGTTTCAGAAGACTTGGAATTATCTTCATATATTGGGATGTTACCACTATGACAGGATCATTAAGCCATTAACAGCTGAACTCAAAAACTTGATCAGTCCAATTCATGAACAAATCATTCAGACCAAATTAGAATCAAACCAGTTTTATAAACCAGTTCACTGAAAAGATTTTGGTCTATTTTTTAATGTATAATGCCTTAAATTAATATTTTTTACTCACACCAAGCTGTCATATGAATTCAGTAGACTTAAATATAGCACAAGAGACACATGGACCCCTTTTTAGAGCTTGACAGCTCTCGTCCTCATTTACTTTCATAATATTTTTAATATTATTGGCCAGGATAGTTCTCAAAAAATGACTTTTTGTGTTCTGCGGGAGAATGAAAGTCTTTTGGGTTTGGTAAATGATGAATTATCATTTCTGGGCAAACAATACACTTAACATTACAACTTTGCTATAATTACATTAATTTTGCTCTTTATTAAATAAAATAATGTCTATTTTAACACGCGTCAATATGCATTACTTATGTAGCTCATTTTTTAAGTTGCTTGCCAGGCATTGTAAAGGCTGACTGAGGACTTTTTTCTGAGATTATCTGTCTAGCGCAGGTGTCCAGCCTGCCATCATTAAGTAAAGTAGCTGAATGGCCTGCTGACATTTGAATGGAGTTGCTCTTGTAACTGTAAACGGCCTGAGCAATTAAAAACAGAAAGGCCACATTTAGGACAGATTGTTGCATGGCCTACATCCAGCCCTTAGACTTATCACCACATAACGCAGGGCACCATATTTAATCAACCATTTTTCAGTTTGTGAAGTTGCTGTTGTGAGTTTTCAGTCGTGTCTTTATTTGAAACTCTGGCCAGACGCCAGGACCGAGCCAATGAGGTCAGTTTACGTTGTGCGTCAGTGTCTGTGGCCAACAGGTTGCAGGTGGAAACATTCCCTGGAATGAATGACAGATGGCAAAGCTAGGCCTTGTTTTCTAGAAGGAGGTCTTTTATTTGTCTTTGCATATGTTTTTGGGCAAGTGGCTTGGGCTCAAGGAAATGCATAAATAATGCATTCAACAACAAGGCCATGAATAGAAGTGATTAACTAACCTCAATGTCCTTGTGCTTTCTTTTAACCTCATGATTAATATCTTGTTTAGAAGGAAAACTACAATATCACATTCTCTTACAGCTCTAAGCGTGACATTAATAGATCAAGGAAAGTGTATAGCCTTCACTGACAAATGTAGCATGCAAAATGCCTTCGTTCTTTTTAAAAGGCTGCATGTAAGCCCCAGCAATCTAGAAATGACACTACAAAGCGCTCCCCTAGTGTGTCTTGGTGTTAGTACATCCTAGTAAACAAGCCCCTTACTGACAGAAAGCAGTAAAAGCGAGTGGGCCTTTGGTTACAATGTGAAAGTTTTCATTGACAAATAATACTGTCAATGATTCACATTTACAGTATGTTGGGAATAAATCGAGTTTTTTCAATATATATAGGATCTGCCAATATTTGGTGTTTTATTGTATTTTTTTATTTTGCTTGTTGCTTTATCACTTTATTCATTATCTTTTTCGTCTTTGGTAATGACAAATGTTTTGAATGATTTTGCTTGGATGTCGCAAGAATGTCAAACAAGAATTAGCCTGCTAATGAAAAAAATATGTAGTATAAGCATAGCAAGGATTTGGATCAGTCCGATTAGTGCTGACACCCTTGTCTTATTGAATCCTTGGTTATTGGTTGGTCAATGGTTATTGTGCGGGTCTTTCTTAGCCGCCATCGACCTACATGCCCTCCTGAGCGTTTCTCTAATAGAGTGCTTCATTTTGAGGATGAGAGATCAGCTGTAATCTCGCCATAATCCATAAATGAGGCAGCTGGGCCATATAACATAGAACAAGGGCTTTCAAAACCACGGCTACTAACCCACTATGCAGTTCGGTGTCTACATGGATCATCATACATCATCTGTCATTGTTCACACACAATCCCACAATGCCCTAAGGCCTAAAGTAGAGGTAGATGTGGGAACAAAGCTTGGGAAGTGTTTCTATTCCATTCTACTTGATTTTCAAAACCTTAAAAATGTAAGATCACACAGACTTCAGAGCAATATACATTGCCACAATGGTCGTACCAACAGCATAAATTGTCATGTGGACTCTTAATGACAAGGTGCAAATTTGTAATCCTGTGTAGTTTATTAGCACCCTGGAGCATTTGGGCCATATTTGAAGGAATAACTTTGACTATTGCCAAATGTAAATCAGTGTTCACCAGCAAACAGTGGGGCTGTGTGTCACCCTAAACTAGAGGCTGATCCCCTGTACTGTTAGATATTATATAACACCAGAGTCACGGCCACTCATAACCAGCTCTGATTGGCTCTTCTGTTTGGAATGATGACATCATCGTTTTGAAGGGGGTTTAGAGAGTGATGTGGGTGGAAGTGTGTTTATGTGTACTTTTGCTCACAATAGGTGGGGGATGGTGTATCCCCATGTGAAAGGGAAATCCCTCTTCAGTGATCTGATCTGAGATAACACAGTGACAGCACCCAAAATACAAGCACATCAGTGGCTCTCATAACCAGAACTTATAGACAGTTAAAGGAATGTTCCAGGATCAAGATCAAAATTATTTAATTGACATTATGCCACACAAAGGTACTGGTGTTAGAGCTCAATACTGTATTGAATTGGAAGATTCGTTTAAGTCAAAAAATGTATGATCTGGTGTTGTTTTTCACAGTGTAGAAAAGATTATAGAGACAAACATCTTCTACCTTAAATTAAGAGATTCTTCTGTTTCTTTGCAGAACTGGAAGCTCTGTGAAACTGGCCTGGCTGATAGTGCTTTCAAACTGGAAGAGATAAAAGCAAGACTGAAGAGTCCGTTGCCAGAGAAGCTAGAAGATCTAAAGTCACACATACAGCTCATCAAGGTAATATATTTTTCTGAGTGATGACAGGCAACCAAACAACCAGTTAGAATCCCAGATTCAGGTCATTCGGCTGTATTGATAATGTAATTGATAATGTCTTATTTTATTTATTTAACCTGGAAATAAACCAACATTTTGAGGATTTGGAAAAATATATAGAGAAAAAATACAAGAAGAAATTATCATATAAAATACAAAAATTATTTAAGATTAAAGAATTTTTTTAGGACAAAGGTTATATAAAAAGATATAGAGAAAAACTGAAAGGAAAAGTTGGCATAAAATAAAGAAGAAAAAAAAAAGATTTTTTGTCACAATTTATTAACCAATGAAATGTAGGCAAGTTTGTGATGGCATTGTGCAGATAGTCAGATGTTCTTGCTTCCACTTAATAGATTTAGGATCAACTTAAATCATGCTGAACATGAAGTTATTAAAGCAAAAGGGAAGCAAACCAAATACTAAATCATTCTGAAATTCATGTACACTGCCGTTCAAAAGTTTGGTATCAGTAAGATTTTTTTTTAATGTTTTTGAAAAATGCTCACCAAAGCTGCATTTATTTCATTAAAAAAAAAAAAAAAAAAAACTGTAATAAAAGAAATATTTTGATGTATTATTACAATTTAAAGTTTTCTATTTTAATATTTTGGAAAAGTAGAGTATATTTTTATTGCAACTGTCCTGCTTTCACAAATTATGTAATATGTAATAAAATCAGATATTTATTTATTCCATGAAAAAATAGAAGCATTTTCACTAGTGTTCTCAGCCTTTTGAACCCTGCTCTATAGTGTAAAATCAGCTAACTTTAAATGTACTCATTGCTTACGTTTTTTTGGCGACTCCTTTAAGAATACAGTTGATTGTGAACATTTTTTTTTACATGATTACATGGGTAATAGTCGTCAATTGGCAGAGATGGTTTACAATTCCTGCTTAGCTTTGATGGTTGTCAAACAAAGTGCTTTTATCTGCCAACTGAATTCTACTGTATTTTAATACACCCAAACTATTACCAAGATCTTTACTAAAGAAAAAACACATGTTGATATAATCATGTCACTTTAGAAATGTGTTAATAACCCAACTGCTGAGAATGATTTTATTTCTTGTTGATTAAGCCTTGATGAGGAAGAGTCCATTTTTGTTTTTATGAGGAAATAATAGTGTCTTTAACATGATTGGCCTTTGCGAGTGGGCCTTTGCTGTACTCTTTTGCTTAACAGTCCAGTAATCAATCTCACAGCGTGAGATGAAAGTTTTTTTAAAAACCTTTCAGATGGCCAGCTTTTAAAGAATAAAGTCATATAGTTGTAACCTGACACCTTTGTACTGAGTTGTTTTCAAGTCTTTTCTCACATGTGAATTAGGAACTGGCCTGTCACTTCAAGAGCACATTACAAAATTCAGTGAGGACAAAGTGCAAGTTCTTATGTACTCTCTCTAGAACTTGAGAGTAGGCCATGTGCTCTCAAAGATATTTCCTGAATGAAAAAAATGTCATTATAATGAAAAATAAAATGAAAAAATGAAATAAGTGTTGATATGTAGAAACTTTTCTGTACTAACTGTAAGAATGTTTTTTTAAAGACTGTATTTTGCCATGCTGAAGCATTTTAACCCTTTATTCTTCCTCTTGTGTGTAGGTGTCCCTTCGCAAACAGGAAATAGCTGATCGCCTGAACGCCTGGATCATCTTCAATGATAAAAACAAGGAGCTCTGTGACTGGCTGACACAGATGGAGAAAAAAGTGGCACATAGGGGTGAAAACCTTAGTATTGAGGAAATGGTGGAGAAACTTAAAAAGGTAAAATTTGGTTTCCTTTTCATTGCTATGATTTTTCTAATCCCTTAAAAAGGGATAATTCATCCAAAATGTAAAATTCCCACCCAGCGTTTTGTTCTATAACTATATGACCTGCACTACCGCTTGTCAAAAGTTTGTGGTCAATAAGATTTTTTAAAGACGTTTCTTGTGCTCACCAAGGCTGTATTAATTTGATCAAAAATACAGTAAAACAGTAATAACGTGAAATGTTATTACAATTTAAAATAACTGCTTTCTATTTTAATATATTTTTAAAAAGTAATTTATTCCTGTGGTGACAGGGCTGAATTTTCAGCAGCTGTTACTCCAGTGTCACATGATCCTTCAGAAATCATTTATATTTATATCATAGCATGTCAGATGTCAAATCATAATATTTTTGTAAACTGTTATATATATATTTTTTAGAATTGTTTGATTGATGCAGCATTTATTTCAAAATTATAATTTTAAATGAATTATAAATTATATAAATAATTTACTGTCACATTTTGATCAATGTAATGCACCCTTGCTTAATAAAAGTATTAATTTATTAATAAATTAATTTAGTAATTTAGTAATTAATTAAATTGCTCAACTCCCTGTTTTTGTGGTTACATAACCATAACAACACGCCACTTTAAGATCATTTTAGACAAAGGTATCACATGAGTCTGTTTCTATGTGCCTTTGTCATGGCGAGTTTGTGTTGTACATTTGTAAGGAGCTTAAGTAGGTCGGTAATATGGTATTATATGGTACTATATGCTATTATGAGTATCTACGAAGGATTAAAGCAGTCTCAAATGAACAGCACGCTTAAGCATTCCCAAGGGAGGCCCCACAGATTTTACATTTCGCAGAGGCTCTATTCTATCCACTCACATAGCATTCGTTCTTTTTTACTCAAATATGCTACAAATGTACATTATTTCTAAAAAAATATGAAAGATTAGCTTTAATCTAGTTTACTCTATGTACTATAAAATTGAGGGCAGAGTGCTGTACCACATAACTGTGTTCATTTGTTTACCTCTTTGTTCATACACAACAATAACCTCGTATGTGCAGTTTCTCTCTCACCATCAGACAGTGCAACCTCAAGCACTCTGCAGTCATTAGCACATAGTTTACCATTGAGATTTTGGAGGGTTTCAGCCAGGCCACGTCACTAATGATCACACATCAGAATGCTGGTCTCTTTCTAGCACCGTTACTGATGGCCATTGCTATTTTACTGTCATTTTGCTATTAATATTTTGAATTTATGAACCCACTTTATATTAAGTGGCCTTAACAACTATGTACTTGCATTTAAATTAATAATTTGGTACAATGCACTTAGTGTACATACATGTTTTTACATTGTACTTATATTTTAAAAATACCTGCATGTAATTACATCTGTAATTAATTTCTGTAATTACATTTATAATTACACTGTTGACCCATCCCTTACACCTTAACCCACCCTTAAACCTACCTAGACCACCAAACCTGTCCCTAACCTTACCCGTATCCCACCTCAATAGCAGCAAAAGTGTTTTGCAATACAATATGACCACAATAAGTACATTGTACTTAATTTTTGATGTAAGTGCATAGTAGTTAAGGCCACTTAATATAAAGTGGGGCCGAATTTATTTTTATTTTGATAATTTCTGTTTTCATTTTAGCTAATATTTCTTAGTTATTTTACTGCATCAAGTTAAACTAAATGAAAACGAGAATTATTATTTTTTATTAATTATTTTAAAAAAAAATTAATACTTTATTTACTTTCAGTTAACTTTTATTTCATGTTTTTTTATGGCTGTAGATTTAGTTAACTGTAATAACTCTGCTGACAAGAATCCTGCTGTTGAAACTGAGCTAGGTTGTACTAAACAAAACAGGTGAACCCTTAATAGCAGAGGAGAAAGTGAAAAGGATTTGGGCTGCTGAGGGGTCAGTGTGAATAATTGTTCCTCTCCTTTAAAGAGGGCCCATGCTGAGAGAAGGAACATAGTTTTGACAGCTGTCATACCCATCTAGAGACAAAGTGCAGTTAGTCGGTTTTGTTTGGGATGGATGTGTTAATGACTAAAGCACATGAGAGACAGGCCAGTGCTCATTGTGCACATCTCTCTTTAGGACTGTATGGAGGAGATTAATCTCTTCAGCGAGAACAAGAGCCACCTCAAGCAGCTGGGCGAGCAGCTCCTATTGGCCAGCGACAAGGCTAAGGAGGCAGAGATTCACGGGGCCTTGCGCGATGTCAACGACCGCTGGCAGCACCTGTTCGACCACATTGAGGCCAGGTGAGCAAAATAAAAACAAATGAACCACATTGAACTGTAGTGAAGAAATGCTAATTTGATAAAACTCATTTCTTTCCTGTTTGCCTGATGTTTACTATTGTTGCTCTGTATCCACTGATTAATGGCTGATTAAAAGCTCTTTGTTTGTTTGAAAGCCTTAGTCAGCATCATTTCTGGTTTCCATTCAAGGACTGATTGATTCATTCATTCATTTGTGGATTTATTCCTCATTTAGACTGTTGGTGGTGATTAAGCCTTTGATTAGACTTTAATATAGATTTTTGAGGCATTTAACAGATTCTTTTATTTAGACTGAAAAACAAAAAGTGCTTAAGCCTTTAATGTGAGACTGATGGTTAGCAAGTAGTTCAAAAAGCTGATGCTGAGAAAATAACTTTCCTGTGCAAATACAAACATGTAGAGGAAAGTGGTGTAAGAAGTGCCTTTTTCCAGCAAATTGTGCCGAACTGTGTAGTTAGAAAGAAATGCATATATGAAAAGCCTTATTTATGTTAAAAGTTTGTGTGTGTCTCGGTTGTCAGTTTTGTTCTGTATGACAGGTGAAATATTTTTTTTGTACAAGGGTTTGTGGGTAAACTGTGTCACACAGCTCAACAAATAGTAATTAAATTCAGGAATTACTAGCATATAGCATTATTATATTAATGTGATATTATGCTGTCATAATATTGTTATAAGTATGCTTATGTATTACTGAATTATTATTATTATTATTATAAATACTGTTCAGTGTTATTAACCAAAACCTGAAATAAAATGTAAATATAAATATTAAGTTAAAAAATGATCATTTTAAACAAATTTTAAACAAATTAAAAATGTTGCCTTGGCAACTAACTGAAATAAAATGAAATAATGATTAAGAAGTACTAGAATTACTAAAGAAAGTAAATTAAAGCTATGTAGAAATGTAAAAAAAAAAGTATAAAATCACCAAAGCAAATAACAAAAATAATAACAAATAACTAAAATTAAAATGAAAACTCAAAATGTAAAAATAAAAGCGAATTCAAAATATAAATTAATCTTATAATTGCATATAAACAATACTAAAATAACACTGGTACTGTTTAAGTGTTTAAAACTGTTTCACTATATTGAAACATTATGAATATTAAACCTTTTCCTGGCTGCTTTATAAAGACTTTAGAGTGGAGATTTATTTTTTAAATGAAATCATTCATGTGTCCCCCAGTGACTCAGCCTGTCCCATGATGCAATTCAATGCACCCCTAATGTGGAGCAAGTTGCCTTATTAGACTTTTTTCTTTTTTTTTCTTTTTTTGGAAAGGTCATTGTTCTATTTTTCCTCAGTGTTATAGATGACTTCCACAAAGTTCAGTTAATAGAATACATCATATAATTTTATATTATAAATCATATAATTTCTCCTTGCCAATTTACAGCAAATTTTCCCCACTAATACAACTAATTTGCTTATTTTATTTATATTTACTTATTCAAAGGTGAGTCTCGAGTCTGCATGTACTCATTTATTTCTTGATGTGGTATCATGTGGTCTTCAGTACTTTGGATGGTTACCACATCTGGCATATGCTGTCATAATCATTCAGTCTGCTGGAAATTTGCACATACGGAGTGTATGAATCAGGTGGTGGTCCTAAGCAAGCAATAACAAACAAGTGCTTTCCAATCTTTTCTGTGACGTCGCCAGCCTCTCATGTTATTGGTCAGTCCTGCAGTATGCCATGTTCTGAAGCAGCCAGATGGTGCTAGTACTGAAGGAGAGTGGAATTAGCGTAGCCCTCACTAGTGTCGTTAGCTTCAGCTTTGCCATATGGCTTGTTCAGGCTTCTGTAGTTTGTTCTAGTCCCTCTGTATAGCTCGAATGGGGTGGAGGGGGTGGTGGGGGGCAATGGTCTGTCACCTCATATTATCTTTTATGAACAGGGGCACAATGGGGCCAGGGGGACAGTGTGTACTCGGGCACGCTATAATCACACAGCCGGCCATCTGTAGGTATGGCTGCTCAGACGGTTTGCGAGGCCATGCGGTCACTCAAACAACGTAACGAGAAGCTTCACACTGTCACACTTAAATGGTTCAATCTAATCCCTATGGGACAAACACCCTTTGTCTGTGTTTCAGTTTCATCTGACCTGGGGTTATCAGACCTTTTTTTTTAGTTGTGTTTCACGGCAAGCGTAGCACGCTGAACTTTGATTTCATTGGGTTCCTGTCAAACTACACCATCTCAGATACCAAAGAAAACAGTTACTTGTTTGATTAATAAAGGGGTTAGTCTTTTTCATTAAAAAAATGGCACACAATATTATTTTTTTCAATAAATAAAATACATTTGTATCTAGTGGAGATTATAGAGGACTTTTGGTCACATTCAGGTTTTAATCAAAACGTCCATGATCATTTATGGTATCACAAGTTTTTTTCCAAAATGGTCTTTTTGATAATGCTCTGGATTCAAAATGAATATGTAATCTCTCTCTCTTTCAGGGTGAAAAAGCTGACAGAAACCCTGGTGACAGTGCAGCAGTTGGATAAGAACATGAATAACCTTCGCTCTTGGCTCACTCGCATTGAAGCTGAGCTGGCCAAACCCATTCACTACAGTATCTGCCATAGAGATGAGATCCAAAAGAGACTGGCTGAGCAACAGGTCAGCAAATCAAGAGTTTATAAAAAGGATATAATAGAATATTCAATCAGCTGAAATACCAGATTGTAGATTAGTATAGGTGTATTTTGTCTTGTGGGACTGGCAGATTTTTGTTTATTTATTTATAAATGCATAAACAGGTGAAAAATCTTGCCGATGCAACAACTTATTCCAGATAGATTGTCTGAAAAGAAGCCTTAATATGCTTTTTTTTCTAATCAGGTGAATTTGTCTAGTTTGAGGGATGTTGTGATATTTTTGCTATGATTTTTTAAATCAAAATTTGGATTAATTTATTAATAATATTTGATTAATTTAATTGTCTTTCATTTAAATTAATTATTTCCGATTACTCTTTTTCATGATATACAGACTGTTTAAAGGGCTAATTAATTGCTGGCAAAATAAGCTTCCAATAAAACATGACTGTCTATGCAGTGTAAACGTGAAAACATTTCTAAAATCAGAAAAAGGGCTGCGGCATTCCCTTTTGCCAAAAACTTCAACACTCATAATGCACTTCTGATTTGGGTACCACCTCTCTGTCAGTCTGACTGTCCATTGGCAGAATTACAACAAATGTGGAAGCTTGATGTGTAGTTTTAACAAATTTTTTTCCATATACTACCGACATTATAATGATACAAAGCTGGTTGAAGTTAGGCTTATCTTTCATCTGTTTGATAAAGTGACAGGAATGACCTTAACATATGTATGCGCGTGTTTAGGATCTGCAGCGTGACATCGAGCAGCACACTGAAAGGGTGGCATCTGTTCTCACCCTTTGTGACGTGCTTCTGCACGATGAGGATGCCTGCAGCAGTGATGGAGAGAATGACTCCATCCAGCAGACCACGCAGCGCTTGGACCAGCGCTGGAGAAATATCTGCTCCACGTCTCTGGAGAGGAGGCTGAGGTATGGCCATTTATCCAGATGAGTCCAATCTCAAACACTCTATCAATGTTCACTGATGTTTAGTCATTCTGTTGCATCCCTTTATGGGAAGGAAGTTTCAGTTCACTCTGGATTTCCAATTCGCAGCTCCCTGCTGAGCAAGGGATATCCGTAAAAATTCACTTTGCATGATAAAATGTGTTCATTTTTAATGCCCTGTAACGTCACCAAACACTTGAGTCGAACAGACTATGGGTTTTGAGAAAATGACATCATATATTTGGTAAATAAGCATAACATGAATTACAATAAATATTATAAATGAAAATATTTAAAGTAAGTGCCCACACTTATGTTATGATTTATGTAAATATAAATTTATATAAAAGACTCTTTGTTTTTAATCACTCATGTCTGTTTGCAGGATTGAGGAGACGTGGCGACTGTGGTGTAAATTTCAGGAGGATTACTCTTCCTTCGAGGACTGGCTGAACGTGGCTGAGCGCTCTGCTGCTGAACCCAATTCATCAGACATCGTGTACACTGACGCCAAAGAGGAACTTCAGAAATATGAGGTTTGATTCCAACAAAATGTTAAACTATGAGTCTTCGAATGGCTGTGCTACTGGACAGCATTATGTTTACTTCATTTAGTGCAAGTGAAATGTTTCATCCTAATGTTTTAGGAACACGATTAGTACGATTAGGGGAATATCAGATTCCTCAAGCAATCATCTATGGCCTGTCAGCAGTTTTTCATTTACTGAATGTTTTAGTCATTCAAGCATGACTTCTGAAATGTTTCTAATGTTAAAAACACACTCTCTCTATGCATGGAAATTGAGTGTTAAAGTAGATATTTTTGAATATCCAGCTTTAATTTAATAGAGTAAACAGTAATAGCAGTTCTGAAATTAGTTTTTGTGGTCATAGTAGTGTTTGATTTGTTGTTTTAGGTTTTCCAAAGGCAAGTGCATGAGAGTCTGACCCAGCTGGAAATTATTAATAACCAGTACAGACGACTAGCGCGGGAGAACCGGGCCGATGCAGCCAGCAGACTCCGGGCCATGGTGCATCAGGGGAACCAGCGCTGGGACGCGCTCCAAAGGAGAGTGGCTGCAATACTGCGCAGACTCCGGGTGAGGACTGAGGACACAGACACACTACTTTTTTTTTATGTCATCTATGCAGTTTACTTGAGTGCATAAACGAACCTCTCCCAATACATTTTCTTTTTCCTCCCTTTTTTTCCCCTCATTTAGCATTTCACATGTCAGAGAGAAGAGTTTGAGGGAACCCGTGAGAGCCTCCTCGTCTGGCTGACTGAGATAGACCTCCAGCTGACCAATGTGGAGAACTTCTCAGAGAGCCATCTCCAAGACAAGATGAAACAGCTGAAGGTTAATAAACAAGGGTTTCCTTCAAATTAAGTCATTCAGTCAGTCTATAGACAGATAGAGTTACATTCAACTGAACTTTCTTACTCTTCCCCTCCAGAGTTTTAAGAAAGAGATCACTATGAACACCAATAAGATTGATGCTCTGATCGTTTTTGGGGAGGGTCTGATTCAGAGGAGCTGTCCTCAAGATGCTGTTGTGATAGAAGATGAGTTAGAGGAACTGCACACGTACTGTCAAGAGGTGTTCGGCAGGGTGGCCCGATTCCACCAGCGCCTCACCAGTCTCCGCCCGGTATTATATACGCTCACTTTTCATTGCATTCTCTCATATACCATACTGTGGCCCTTAATGTATTTGGACATTTTGAGAGCCTTTGGAACCTATCTAATGTCTTTTTGTGAATTAGCTTCCTTGAAAAGTGTGTTTGTGCTACATTACCATTCAAAAGTTTAGGGTCAGTAAGTAAGTAATGGCGGCTGAAAATTCAGCGTGGAACAGTTACACTTACAGTGACAAATGTGGCAAAATTGTCCAAATAACTTTGCATATGGGCCATGTTATATGAATATGAATTATAGTGTTTTGTCTTTGGAGCAGCTGGACGTCATTGATGGTGAACAGTCCAGAGGGACACTGGCCACCCCCTCCTCCAGCCAGCCCTCCATGTGCCTGCTATCGCCACCTCAGGAGCACTCGGGCCGTGAAACCCCCGTCAATGTGGATTCCATCCCTCTGGAGTGGGACCACACTGGGGACGTTGGCGGCTCTTCTTCACATGATGAGGAAGAGGATGCTGCTGCCTTCTCTGCCCTGTCAGGTAAATAAGTATGGAAGTGTTTTGATTGCTCAAGTTGTGCAGTGTACTGCAGATGATGATGCTGGTTCTCAGCAGTCTTAAAGTGTGGTCACGTTTATTGTTGTTCAGCGAAATTTCAATAGGAATCCATGTGTTTGGGAATTTTGTGTGAAGATTTCCTCACCCAGATTTCGCAATGGGTTCAAGTCGGTCACATTCGCCACGTTGACCAAAAGAAGCTGCTTGGTTTGAAAGTAACTTCTGTGTGAGCTGTACTTCATGCATCACTACGCTGTTAACAGCAGACAATGGCCCTTCTTATCCGCAAAATTTCACTGAAATTTCGCTAATGTGAAAACACCTTTTTGTAACCAGACTTTGAGCAAGGTGTTCAAGCCATGAATCGACTGGACAATTTCAACAAAAAAAAAGCTGTCAGATTTTTTTCTGGTAACCACATAATTTTTTTTTCATGTGCCTAAATCTGGAGTCCGATAAAATTGAAATATATTTTTCGTTATCAGATTGCAACTGACAATTTTTACAAGCTCTAGCCAGTGTTATGTCCATTGGCACGTCCGTCTGTGGCTGAGACTTTTTCCAGAACTCTGAATGCTGGAATGGGTTGTCATACTGCTGATTTAGCCATTCATTTTCTCTCCCTCCAGAGGTCACAGAAATCCCAGAATTCACATCTGAGGTGACAAAGAAGTCTTTGGGAGAGCCTTTAGGTAGGCCTCCATGTCCCTTTACGTGCACTTGGCTTCAGTTTTGCATGACTGCAAAATTGTATTACCTTTTTTTGGTGCATCCACATCTGTACATTCCCACACCTCCCCGCTACTCCTTACTCTCTTTCCACATTATTCTCTCTCTCTCTCCATCCTGTCCTGTTCCCACATCACTATCGATACGCTTATGAATAGACTGGGTTTGCTGGGTCATCAAAGGACTGGTATTTTTCCTTTCGGTGCAGAACTTTCTCTCTTAAATCAAAAGATGCAAGCATCCTCCCTTCACCCTGTCCTGCTATGTGCTCTTATCATGAAAGATTTTGGCCTGTGGGGAGATTCTGTTTGTAAAGAGGAGGGTTGAGATCCGGCGTGTCCAGATCTCAGGGAGTATAAGAGAGGGCACAGGAAGGTTGCGTCCCCTCCTCTCACACGGCTCAGTGCACCTGCTCATCCTCCTCCAGAGCTTTCATGCTCATGCAAAAGATAATAACATTCATTTATCTAAACCTCACACTCTTGAAGCTTTGCTCAGTACTGGAGAAGCATACATGACATGTTTGATGCTTTTGTTTTTAAAGGGGTCTTTTTTTTTCCTGAAATCCACTCATAATTGTTTTTATGCCAATAACATTAATATTTTATATTTTCATGACCATTTTTGATGCTCTCTCTTATCCTTAGAATTAAATGGCCTGGTTTTGCCCCTCTGCCTTTAAAAACAGCATGTGAAATGAGTATCACAGCTTTGGTCCACTAAGGCACAGGCTGTCGATTTACTGTTGGATTAAATATAGTTCCAACTTCCTTATCCTGCAATAACAGACTTTATCAATTTAAAGTCTGCATTAAAAAGTAATATTAAATTCAATAAAAAAATGCATTTAAATGTTGGCATTATATCTTCACTTGGATGTTACAAGTTGCACTGAGTAAATGCAGCTGGATAAAACAAAAACTGTGTCCATCTTCATTTCAGGCTGCAAAGCAACAAAATGTGATTATTTTAAAGGGGGTGGTTCTTTTCTATACCCACTGTATATGTTTTTCATAGTACATAAATCTCTATTACTTCAAAAGATCAAGAAAAATTTGATTCTTCGTGATCCATGCAACTAAATAATTCCACTTCTTGTATCCATTTCTGTCGTCACAGCCCAAATGAAGTAGCCTGTTTTGAGTACTGAGTTAAATCTCTCTCTCCCTCTCTCACACACTCACAGGACAGAATTGGCACTTTCAAAACACACCTGAAGGGAAATCCTTCCAGCTGGACTCCTCCTCACCTACACACACCAGCACTCCTTTTAAACAAGACTACGTGAGTATATACCCCTTCCTTCTTAATCCAGCTCTTACATAAACACCAAATTTGCATGTTGTCTTATTCAGTGCATGTGTAGTTCCTGTATTAAGAGTGACTGTAATGGTGCGTGTATGATGTGTCTTTGCAATGTACAGGTCCAGCTGATGTCTGAGTGCAGCGGCAGCATTAAGAGTGTGAAGAAGGTTTCTATGATCCTGGATGATGAGGAACAGCAGGAGGAACAAGGCCTCACTGGCCTCAACACTGCAGACAAACAGTCAGGTACTGACACTTTGTCCAACACAGAGGAGCATGAGGATGTTTGTCTGGTACTCATCCCGAGTGGTTCACGTAAAAAAAAAAAAAGTCTTCACAAATGGTCGGGTACATGCACTGACCCAGACCACATGTGCAAGGGACTATTTGTCAATTTATTTAGACGAGTCTAAAAGCATAAGGCTATTTATTTATCAATAATAGCACATAATTACATTTTCATGCCAGCTGATAGATGGATGGAAAAGATAAATTGTAGATGGATGGATGGATCGATAGTTGGTAGATGGATGAATGGATTGGTGGATAAACAGAAGGATGGTCATATGATGTATAGATACGGAGGGTTGGTTGGATAGATGGAATGATGAATCAGTGGATTGATGGATAAACTGATGGATGGATAAATAGTTAGATGTAATGGGTGGTTAGATGGGTGGATAGGTGGATAAACTGATGGAGTAATTGATAGATAGTTGAATAGACGTAAAGGAATGGAAGGATTGGTGGATAAATGGATGGATAAATATGAGGATTGAAAATTAAATGGGTGGGTAGGCATGAAGAGATGGATGGATGGATTAAAATGTGGAAATACAAATGGATGGATGGATGGATATGGGTAGATGTTTGCATAGAGGAAAGGTGGGTAGATAGATCTATAGACAAAAGGGTGAATGGTTGAATCAGTGGATAAGCATATGGAATGATAGGTGATGAGATGAGTAGATAAGTGTTTAGACAAATGAAAGGATTGATGGATGGATTGATAGTTGGGTGGATGGATGGATAGGTGGCTAAATGGAAGGATAGATAGCTGGATAGATTGTTAAATGGAAGGGCAGTTCAGTGGATAGGTGGAAAGATAGTTGCGTAGATGGATGAGTGGATAGGTGGACAAATACATTTATGAATGCATTGATGATAGATAGTTGGATAGACAAATGGAGGAATGGATGAATAGGTAGATGGACGGATGGATGCGTAGTTCGAAAATTAGTAGATTTGGTTAGATGAATGAAGGACTGGATTGGTGGATAGACAGGATCAAAATGGATGGATGTGCATGTAGAATTTTTTTAATTTTTTTTCACTTTATGAACTTGTCCTTTGTTCTCCGCAGGAGTGATTGAGCGCTGGGAGCTGCTGCAGGCTCAAGCAGTGAGTAAAGAGCAGTGCAGCACCAGAGACCCCCAGCAGCTGACCTCTGACCTGCATGACATCACTTCCTGGCTGGATCATGTCACCCCTGAGCTGGACAGACTGCAGAAGCCCGAGACATCCGTCAGTGTCGAGATCTTAGAAGAGAGGGTCAAACAACTTAAAGTAAGCATCAGTTATAGTTCTAGAATGCATCTAATCTTTTAGATTATTAATACAGAGACACTAGAAAGGGAAAGAAATGTTTTCATACTTTGTTCCACATTACACAGGAAATGCAGAAGACATTTGCTCGCTATAAGACCATGATGCTGTCTCTGAACCTGGGTGGGCGAGAGCTGCAGCAGGGGGCTACAGGAGGAGCACCTGAGCTTCAGGAGGGTCTGCGCAGCATGAATCACCGCTGGACAGAGGCTTGTGCGGGACTAGAGGGATGGGAGAACAGTCTGCGCACCACCCTAGGACGCTGTCAGGTGAGAGATCTGGCAAACATTTATACAAAACCTTAATGGAAAGATTGAAGCTATTGGGATTGATGCCACATGAAACTTCATCTCTCACTACTGAACATCTGCCCTCCTGTAGGAGTTCCACGAGATGGTCCACTCTCAACTGCTATGGCTGGCCCATGCAGAGAGCAGACGCTACACAGTGAACCTGAACGACCCTTCTGTGCAGCCCTCCATGCTTCAGGAACACAGGAACACGCTGAAGGTGAGCCAGAGAAACCCAAACCAGAACAACATCAGCTTCTCCAAGACTGTTCAGGCGTGGAGAACTCCTCTAGTTTGTCTTGTTATTTGTGTAGTGAGCTTATGTTTTGCACCTCCTGTTGGCAGGATCTGGCAGAGGAGCTGCAGGGCAGGCAGAAGCAAGTGAACTCCCTGCAGGCGATCGTCTCCGAGCTGCTTCCTGAGGCTGGTGGGGAGGACAGTGCTGAAGCTAGGGAAAAACTCCATGTTATTGGAAGCAAACTACGACTACTGTCATGTCAAGTCGACCAGGATCACCAGACGATTCAGGAGAGATTAGTAAGCGTGAAAACTTTGTCATTTACACTACAGTCATTTTTATAAATTTTTTAAAAATGCTTTACAATACCACTTTATGAGCACATTTTGTTGAAAAAATGCTCTGTTCATGGAAATCCCCAACTGGTTTCTATGGGACGTTCTGCAGACTTCATTGATCCTTGTGGATTTATTTGAAGCAGTCAAATGTGCATTCAAAATATGAATTCAGACTTTTTTTATTTTCAATTTAAAAGTTTGGGGTCAGAAAGATTTAGGCTAAATGTAAAAAAACAAAGACGTTTTTTTTTTTACTCCGCAAGGACACATTAAATTGTTTAAAAGTGACAGTAAATAGATTGAATTTTTTTAAAGGAACACTCCACTATTTTTGAAAATAGGCTCATTTTCCAACTCCCCTAGAGTTAAACAGTTGAGTTTTACCGTTTTCGAATCCATTCAGCCGATCTCCGGGTCTGGCGGTAGCACTTTTAGCTGTAGCTTAGCATAGATCATTGAATCTGATTAGACCGTTAGCATCTCGCTCAAAAATGACCAAGAGTTTCTATATTTTTCCTATTTAAAACTTGACCCTTCTGTAGTTACATCGTGTACTAAGACCGACGGAAAATGAAAATTTTCTAGGCCGATATGGCTAGGAACTATACTCTGGGTGCAGCAGGCGCAATGATATTACGCAGCGCCTGAAAATAGGCATAGTACACGATTTAACTACAGAAGAGTCAAGTTTTAATAGGAAAAATATAGAAACTCTTTGGTCATTTTTGAGCGAGATGCTAACGGTCTAATCAGATTCAATGATCTGTGCTAAGCTACAGCTAAAAGTGCCACCGCCAGACCCGGAGATCAGCTGAATGGATTCGAAAACGGTAAAACTCAACTGTTTAACTCTAGAGGAGTTGGAAAATGAGCCTATTTTCAAAAATAGTGGAGTGTTCCTTTAATCTATTTTGAACTTTCTATTCATCAAAGAATCCTGATAAATCACAAAGGCTTCCACAACAATATTAAGCAGCAACTGTTTTCAACATTGATACTAATAAGAAATGTTTCTTCAGCAGCAAATCAGCATATTAGAATGATTTCTGAAGGATCATGTGACTGAAGACTGGAATAATGGCTGTTACAATATATTAAAATTTATTAAAAATGTACATTATATTAAAATAAAAAAGGTATATTTCACAATTCAATTTACAATTACAATTTACAATTACTTTTTTGATTATTTAAAGGTTTTGATAAGCATAAGAGACTTCTTTCAAAAAATATATTTAAAAAAATTAAGAGTACAAACCTTTGAATGGTAGTGTGCATTAAAATAATTTCATCTGAGAGTTTTTTGCCACACCATGTCAACAAATAAATATAATTAACTAAGATAAGGCCGTTTTTACTACAAACAATACTACAAACAATATTGAAATTAAAAGTATACTACATGCTCATAATTTAGAGCGATATGATCTGGTTGAGTAGTTTTGATTTGTGGCGAGGTGCTGAAATTGTCTGTCATGTGTTTGCAGGAGTCCATGACTGATGCTTCGGGAGACAGGAAATCCACACAATGCTCTCGGTAGAGTTTGACACACATAAATCATTTTAATTTGTTCCTTTTTCATGAAGATTTAAATAGTATAGAATATTGTAAAAATATATGCTATATAAGCAAAAATGCATATACAGTATATATAGACATTTCTGTTTTAAAGAAGATAAGATTAGATGAAAAGATCAGCAGTAAAACTTTCTGTTTCAGGCCAAAGCGTGACCCATCACCTCAGCGTTCGTTCTTCTATCGGGTCCTGCGAGCGGCTTTCCCTCTGCATCTCCTGTTCCTCCTGCTGTTGGTTCTGGCCTGCTTGGTGCCTCTTTCTGAAGACGATTACAGCTGCACCTTTTCCAACAATTTTGCCCGCTCTTTCCACCCCATGTTACACTACACCAACGGTCCTCCCCCCACATGAGTCTCTCAGCACCTCACTTTTGTCCAACCAATATTTGAATGGTTGTATTGATGTTTTACTACTTATTCCCCTTTGAGAGCCATACTACTGAGAATTTTGTTGTTAATGTTACAGTTGGGTGTGATAAAAAAAAATTGTCCCTTTTTTGTCACAATGCTGTAAAGAAAAACGTCAATCATTGTATGAGCTTGAATGTAAATCACTGATAATTTTTTTAAATATTTCTAGATTTAAGCACATCACGCACTGATGAAAAATTAAGAGTTAAGAGTTTGCAACTTGAAAAGATTGACTCTTCAGCCAGTTTGTGGTGACATGATGACTGGCTGCTATTTAGGGATTATGTGGTCTCATTTTAAATTTTTATATGGTCTGAATTAACTGTTCATATTTGCGAAGCCCAAAACAGAAATATATTTAAAAATGTCAAATGCACATGAACACAGTTTAATACAGCCCTGTGTAAATAGCACACTGTTACATATGCACTGCAAGGTAGAACACAAAGAGGTGTACAGAAAGTACATTTTGAAAACATTTTACAAACATTTGTTCTGTGTTAAAAAATAAACATTGTCTACAACAAATCTGTATTACAGCTGGTCTTAAATGCTTAGTTGCCCAAAATTGTAAAATCAATATTAGTGCTTCATATCAAAACAATTAAAATTCAGATGGCTGCCAGCAGATAACATATACATTTATTTTGTGTGTTTATTAAAAGTACGTACTTGTAACATATACATTTATTTTGTGTGTTTATTAAAAGTACGTACTTGTAACATCTATCTCTATGATTCTAATCTTTAAGGTAGGAATAAATCAATTTTCTCCTTACCTAGATACTTTCTCTTATTACTGTCATCTTAAACCGAACTGTATAGGCTATAATCATTGTAGTCACTGCAATATTTTCAGTTTTCTTGATTCTGAAAACAGGGCTTTAGATATTTCAGAGAACTCTTAAAGTGCAATTTCACAAGTACATTTTTGGTAGTTGTGGTGCATCTTACCAACAGAAAGGATTTCACAGTGGAATAGTAGCAATAAATTGAGCTGTCCCTAGAAAATGTTCAAATGTTTTGTACAAGTCCTTTATGGTGTTAAAGGGTAAAGAGCAGGACAAAAGAAGGCAGTTTGTTTTGAATTTTTGCTCCGTAATCTGTTTTGTCAAAAGTAATGGATGCAAACAAAACATCCAGCTGCCCTGAATTACTGCGGTGTGACATTCACAAGTCCTTGTTCTGACAGAATCAAATAAAATAAGGCTTGAGTCAGTTCTTCTGAGCCTTTGGACCAGAATTTAGTCTTTGCTCACATTGCATACAAATCTCTCTCGCTTTAGTAATAACTGTCCTTATGCAAGTGATGGAATCTGATCTGTTTGTTCCGACAGTGTTGATGAGGGCATCAGTGTGTGTTGTTTTCTTTTACAAAAACCGCGAGTTGCAAATGTACTGTTTAGAAAGAAAATGGAAAAGTAGAAACCGTACATTTCATTATGGTGCAGAGTTCATGGGGATGGGTGCGTGAGGCCACACTGTCAGATATCTCACTGCATGTTGCATTTCAAAAAAGCTTTTGAAATCCAAAATCCAAACAAATAGTAATCGATTTTCAAACCTCCAGCAATGGTTAAGGTTTTGTAAAAAATTACATTTCCCTTTTTTTGTGGTTTAGGCTACATAAAACCAAAAAACTGTGTTCAGAATGAGTTCTGTGAAACAAAACAAAAAAGAGGATTTCACAACAAATGCCAAAACCTGATGTATTTCATCTTGAGAAATCCTATTCCACTCTTTTTGTGTGGCTACTTTTGTTGTCCATTCTCCCGAAACTATAGATCATTCTTCAGCGCTGGCGAGAAAGAAGAACAATTTAACATGATATTTTTTTTCAGCTTGTACAGTTATTTTAAGATTTATGGAAGAATTTTAGCTGGCAACATCCTGTGAAATTAATGAACAAACTAAATATTTTATAAAACAGCCATTTCCATCAGTAAAACTATTTTTTTATTTATGTCAACGTCACAACACCTGCATTATGAAAGAAACTACTCTTGCTACGTCTCACCAGAAATGGTTTAGGGTCCTAAGGTCCCGCCGTGCTGAGAAGTGCAGGCGAAGGCCTCCTGGCCGCCTTTGCTCTCTTTGGGAGCAGGAGCCGCTTGAGGGCCGGAGTGAGACACACGTGAGCTGTGCATGATATGAGCGTCCAGCATCTCCAGAAGCAGGTCATACAGAGGAACCATCTTCTTCATCTTCATGCAGTGGAGGTGGTCCATGCCTTTGTTGCTAGAGATGGTGGATATAGTCAGTGGAAGGTTTTGCACAAATAAAAAGTTACAAATAGTTATACAACAAAGGCTATAAGCTCAATGGTTCAAGAGTTTTTAATACAAGCTATCCTTTTGGTAAACTCATTTAAAGTGGTTCAATACTTTCAAGCTAACTTTTTGCAAAAAGTAGTTAGATACACTACAGGTTATTTAAAGCAGTTTAATACAGTAAGTACCCTTTGGCTACAATACTAGCTCAACACTACACTCAAGCTAACCTTTTGAAGAATACAGTTGGCTTGTAGTTCGAGCTAAGTTTTTGACGAAAAAAACAACACTCACTAGTTATCGACAATAAGCTACATATTTAGCTAAACGTTTGAAAAAAAAGAAGTTAGGAAAACAAGCTACTAACAAAAAGTAGCAGATTAAAGCTAAAGGAACAATGTATTTTAAAATGTATAAGTTTATAATTAATACATTTAATCAGCTGTATTTCTCTGGCTCAAAAACAATGAGGGTTTTTGAATGAATAAAAATATTTACCTGTAAAAGTGTGAACTGAGATGATCAAAAACACTGAACAGCAGCATTCAACTAAATACTTCTCTTTAAACATGTATTAATATAAAATTAATTTAATTATTTATTTAATTTTATTATTATCTCGGTAATATATATATATATATATATATAATTATATTTTAAATATTTTTGCACAAATTAGTATTATAAATATTATTAAAAGCATATACTGCATTGGTATTTGAATTAGTGAACTGGTTAAAAAAAGAGACAATACACGACTACAGTGAATCAGCATTTGTGCCCCATTGCCAATTGCTGGACAAATTAGCAACTGGAAAAGCTACATTGAAAACTGCTATTTTGTAAGCAGCAACCCAAAAACTGAAAAACCACCCCTGTAGATACTGTACATACAATGTTTTAATGACAGGAAACAAAATAATTGCTTGATGATCGTCATTACAAAAAAGGTTAGTAGCAGACTAGGTGTCCAAATGAACTGTAATTGTAATTGGAGTATAATTAGCCACTGCAGTTTCTATGATTTTTTTACATCCATAATTCTTGAGCAAAGAAATAAATCAATTTCGCAGTCTTCAGGCAAATTACTGTGTATGAAGCACAAGCCACCTTTTTTGAGTCATGTGCAGTCAAGGTGTGTCAAAAGTTCCTCGTTCAAGGTTTTTATTGTCTGTACCTGACGTGCCTTATGTGCGAGAGCAGCATGAGCAGATGGGCTAGTCTGGTGGAGCGCTGCTGGAAGCTCAGGCCCGTCTTCGAGATGGCCCAAACCAGAGCATCCGTCACCGAGTCCAGCAGACACAGCAGCTTCGACCGGCTCTGCAGCTCCTCTCCTCCCTCCGCCGAACTCAGGCACATGTCTGCAATGACGCACGAGCGCAGGTTTGCAGCGATTAAAGCCGCGAGACGCTGACATTTACAGCCGTTTGAAATAATCGAGGGTGATACCCAAATAAGCACCCAATTCAAAGAATATCCCATTCAAAAACAACGCAACACATCTGGAGCAATCAAATAAGTTACACCGAGGGGACAAAGTGAAGACAGCTGTTGGGGGCAGAGAATGAAGAGATAATGCATGAGGAAAAGTTCAGAGGAATAAGAGCGGGAAGAAATACTGGTTCCTTCAGACATTGAACACTTGGCAGGTACTGCCTGTTACTTACATAAGCGTGTGCTATGAAATGGATACTTGGAGCAAAGGCATGTTGTCCCCATTAAGACTTTACAGTGCGTGAGCATTTTTCTTGCCTGGCCTTGCCAACACTCCCTTCAATTAAAGCAAGGATAGTAGTACCCCTCTGAGTTATGGGCCTGGAGTGAACACTATTTATTATGGCTTTGTGGAGGTCAGCAATTTGTTTGGACTTTTGATGACAGAGACAGTAAGAGGACAGGAAATGAAGGGGAGTATGATCACTGCATGACACCAGCTGGAATCGAACCCACTTCTCCCGTGTGAGAATCACTGATATATGTCTGGAGCACAAGCACTAGACCACAGAACTCATTTATGATCAACAGAGCCAAAAGACTACTCAGAGTATGTTTATGGATGTTCACTATAATGGATCCTTTTTTGTTTTTTTTTGTTTTTTACTTTACAATCGAGTGCTAGAGACAGACTGTATACATTTGCGGACTTATTTAATTTAGCTTGCAGTTTGTGCTAAAACATGAAAACATATTTAAAAATCCACCATTTATTAAAGTATAGAACAGTGAAAAGATTCAAAATGTTGTCAGATTTAGCAATAAATCTTTTATGCTTCCCAATTTTTTTCAAAATGTTATTCTTCATATTGTAGTAAATTTTACTATACTTAACATTGTTAACTGATTATTAAAAAAATAAAAAATACAATACTGCACAAAAGTTTTGGGTCAGTAAGTTTTTCTTGTTATTTTATGAATACTTTTATTCAGCAAGGACGCATTAAATTAGTCAAATTTTATAATGTAACAAAAGATTTTTATTTAAAATAAATACTGTTCTTTTAAACTTTCTATTCATCAAAGAATCCTGAAAAATGTTTCCACAAAAATGTTCAGTACAACTGTTTTCAACATTGAAAATAATAATAAATGTTTCTTGATCAGCAAATCAGCATATTAGAATGATTTCTGAAGGATCATGTGACACTGAAGACTGTAAAAACATTTTTAGAAAATACTTCATGATAAAATAGTTATTTATGAATTACCATTGAATGTTAAGATTAAATATTAATGAATCCTCAAATTTTCAATTTACTGGCTGCAGTCTGGCATCATGGGTCATGTGACAGTCAAAAAAATAAATAAATGAAAAAAGA